TTTTCCTTGACTTTCCTAGCCACATGTCTCCATCCTTCAGAGCCTCTTCACATGTCTTGGGCTTCTCATAGCATGGTGGTCTTAGGATAGTCTCTCCTTTTACATAAGAACTAGATTCCAATAAACCAAGGTAGAAGCTGCCAGTCTTCTTAAAGGCCAGGCTCAGAACTGACATTCATCATTTCTGTCATACTCTATTGATTCAAAGAGTCAACAGCCAAACCCAGATTTAGAATGAAGCACAATAGACCTACGTCTCTATGGGAGGAGTGTAAAAGAACTCATAGTCATCTTTAATCTGCCATATGTTAATTTAAAACTGTATCAGATTCCCTAAGCAATGCAGTTAGGTGAGAAAAAGAATGTAATTATTAGAAAAGATCAAACAAACTCTCATCATGTGTAGAAGATATGATGGCATAGATAGAAAATCCAAAAGAATCTATATGTAAATGATTAGAATTAATTTAAATGTTTACAACTTTGCTTAAAACAAAATAAATACCAAAATTAATTGTATTTCTACATGCTAGAAACAAATAGTTGGAAAAATAGTTTAAAATACCATTTAAAAATTCCAAGTTCAGGCCAGGCATGATGGTTCATACTGGTAATCCTACCACTCCAGGAGACCAAGGTGGGCAGATTGCTTGAGGTCAGAAGTTCAAGACCAGCCCAAGCAAGAGACCCCCATCTCTACAAAAAATAGAAAAATTACCCGGTGTGGTGGTGCACACCTGTAGTCCCAGCTACTCAGGAAGCTGAGGAAGGATGATCTCTTGAGTGTAGGAGTTTGAGATTGCTGTGAGCTATGATGATACTACTGAACTCCAGCCTGGGGAACAGAGTGAGACTCTGTCTCAAAAAATAATAATAATTCCAATTCCTAAATTGCACATTCCTGTCAGATAATGGCAGCTACCTAAATCTTTCCACAATCTTCAAAAACCACACACACACATATAAAATTTAAAATTGTGAATAAAATAGCCCATCTATAAAATAACTAGAAGGCAAAGAATACTATAAGTTTCTAGTTACAAGTAGGAAATAAACATCTAAAGCAAAGCTAGCCAACTCAGCTTCAGAGCTCACTCTAGAGAAAGTCCAGGAGAGACTGCAAAAAATAAAAACGTCAGTGTGAGACCTAGTGGTGGTAGAACACAGATAAAATCATTTCTGGAAAGAGAAAGTCCCCCCTTCAAGTGATTAAATACTAATTTCTGAGCCCTGCAGTGGCTTCTGGGGAACTGAAAGGAAAAGGATTGAAAGTACATAGGACTAGAGATAAGGCTGTCTTAATTTCTTTGCAGTAAGTATTACTTTCATAATCGTTTTTAAAAAACTATTTTGATTTTGGAAAAAAATAGATGGTAAAAAAAGAACTGGCAGTGATGAATGAAAGAAGAAAGCAAATGTTGGAAATTAGAATCCTATAAAAAAAAAAAGAAGAAGAAGAAGCACGGAATCACAAGATACACAAACTTCTTCTGGTGCCATTAAATAAATTGCACTTCACTTTGTCAATAGTAGAGGATGCTCCTGAACCAAGAAATTTAGTAAGCCACCCAGACCTCTCACCTCTGCCTACACAAAATCACCTCTCATTGCTGGAACAAGAGAATATAAAAAATTCCTAAATGAACATAAAATGGCATATGAGGCAAATGGTATGACTTTTATTGATTTTTTACTCCCTCTTTCCTTGAAAACCTCATGGACTTTGGGCATAGCCATATGACTCATTTTGACCAATAGAATGTGAGTGGACATGACATACACCAAATATCTTTAAATGTGATAGTGTCTTTGACTCAGTATCTTGTACCCATGCTCCAGGCTCCAGACTTTGAGCCTCTAGAACTATGAGAGAGTAAATTTCTTTTATTTTTAAGCCACCAGTTTGTGTAATCTGTTACGGCAGCCCTAGAAAACTAATACAAATACAAATAATGTTAGAGTTTAATTAGAAGTGTCAGTAAGAACTCAGGAATTTTAAAAAATATATTTCCTAACACCATCCACTGAGAGGATCTAGAAATAATTACATTACAGTAGCAATGAGCACACCCCATGCCCATTTAGAGACCTTGGTCTCTAAATAGCATTTCCCAGTAAAAGGAATTTGGGTTCCTTAACGAAATGGCTGTTTCCAAGGCTAGAGCAAGGAAACTTCCAGGTGATCTTGGAACATCCTGACGTGCCAGAATGCAAGGAAGCATTCAAACACTAATGGGGTCACGTGAAAAGAACACAGAAGCTGGCTTGAAGGGCTTCCTATTGGCCAAATTTGAGACAATTTGAGCATCAAAAAGAATAACAATGGTAATGAATTAATTATAATACACATAATAAATAAATAATCCAGGAGTCCATAAAAAAATAAAGGGAGAGGAGAAGCATTTCATCACAGAAGAATTCCAGCTAATAAATGTAGGAGAAATGACAAAACAGGAAAATCAATTTGCAGCCACCAATATGCTATTGAATACTTGTAGAGATCTTTAATGGATGCTAAACTCACTGGATGAAAGCATGTTGGGAAACAGAATATTTACAGGATCTCAAAGTGTTACACCACAGACTGTTAGGAAAGGGAAATGGTTACCCTTATAATAGATTGGGTGAATGCCAGCTTAATCATATGATCGGACTTAGCATCATCAATAATGGGACAATTTGGCATCATGTAACCCCTGATGTAATACAATGAGAAGGACATATCTCCTACTTTGTATTCTTACTAAAAATGTTTAACCAAAATCTAATAATGAGAAAACAGTTATTCAAATTTAGAATGTGGAACATTCTACAACACAAGTGTACTGGCCTTCTGAAAAATGTCGCTATCATGAAGGACAAAAAGAGACTAGATGTCTATTCTAGATTAAAGGACACTCAAAAGAAACATGAAAAGCAAATGCAATGTGTGATCTTTTATTAGATTCTAGATTGGAAAAGCTATATAGGATATCATTATGGTGACTTAAAAATTTAATATTAGATAATATTATGTTTATAATTTCCTTTCAAATAGTTCAGAGAAAAGTATATGGGTAAGGAGAGAGGGGAGGTAAAGGAAATATCTCAATATGTTAACAACTGGTGAATCTAGATAAAGGATTTAAGGGTGTTCATTGTCTTATTCCTTCTATTTCTCCGGGTTGGTAACTTTTCAAAATAAAAGCTTGAGGGGAAATAATAAGGATTAAGTCTAACAAAAGTTGTACAAGCCTCCAAATATACCGTAAACATTTGTAAATGAATCTCAGAATAAGGATCTTAATGTTTCTCAAAAGTTTTATCAAATGCAAACGTTTTCCTTCTACAAATGCTTATGATATGTTTCCCATGATACACATGATGCTATATATTCTATGTCAGAAAATAAAATAATGACCAAGGTCTCTACCCTCATGGAACTGACATTCAGTAGTGAAGACAGAGGAAACAGCCAATAAACATGTAAACAGATAAATGAGAATATAATGAATGCTACAAAGGGAAATATCAAGTTGAGATTTACAATAAACAGGAGTCCTATTTTAGATGAGGAAGAACTCTCGAAAGACATAGCATTTAAACTAGGACCCAAAAGTTTAAAAAGATGGATGAAAGAAGAAACAGAAGGGTTAAGAGCCTTTCAAACAGAGAGAATGACATATACAAAAGGCTCTCATGGTAAAAAAGAGTTGGCATTATCCAGGAACTGAAAGACCAGTCTATCTGCAATACAGTGAAATAGGGGAAATGTAGTGGGAGATGAGATCAGAGACTTGGCCAGGGCTATATCAGACAGAGCCTGGAGACCAGAATAAGGAATTCAGGTTTTATTCTAAGTGACATGGAAGGTTTTAATTGAGAGCGTGGCATCACCAGGTATATATATAGAGATCTTTCTGGCTGTCATGTAAGCGTGTCAGGGTGGGAGCAGACCAATTAAATGGACATCTCTGGGAGAAGAGCTAGTCCAGGCATAATTATTTTTTAAAATCTCCCAAGGTGATTCCAATAATCAGCCGGGGTTGGGAACCAAAGGGGAAAATGTAGCTAAAGTAATGAAAATAAAGTTATTTCACAGTGCATTTGCCAGGAAAAGTCTCTTCCCACTTGGAATCTGAAGTGAAACCAACACCACATTTTGCAGAGATATAGATGCCAGGATTATTGGAGGGAAATAGCCCCAAGAAGCAGGAGCCCTTTTGTTGCTGTTTAACCACTTCTTTCCCATTATGGTGACAAGTTGCCTCTTTTCACACAAACCACCTCAGGAGATCTTCAGCATATCATCATGTTTGTCTGTCCTTGTAGGCCTCCAAAGTCCCAGAGTGGCAAACACCTTGAGTCTTAGACTATCTTCCCTCTTTCTTCTCCCCTTTTCACCCTCTCCTGCCAAAGCCACTGGGCTACACTGAATTCCACACCTGACTCCAGCCTCCAGATGGTCCAACACAGGGATGCTCTGTGTGATCTAAATCGAAGCACTCGGCCAGGCGCAGTGGCTCAAGCCTGTAATCCTAGCACTCTGGGAGGCCGAGGCGGGCAGATTGCTCGAGGTCAGGAGTTCGAAACCAGCCTAAGCAGGAGCGAGACCCCATTTCTACTATAAATAGCAAGAAATTAATTGGCCAACTAATACATATAGAAAAATTTAGCCGGGCTTGGTGGTGCATGCCTGTAGTCCCAGCTACTCGGGAGGCTGAGGCAGAAGGATCACTTGAGCCCAGGAGTTTGAGGTTGCTATGAGCTAGGCTGATGTCACGGCACTCACTCTAGCCTGGGCAACAAAGAGAGACTCTGTCTCAAAAAATAATAATAATAATAATTAAATAAATAAATAAATCAAAGCACTCCATTTATCTTACATTTGTGAAGTGGAGAAGAACATTCCAGATGTAAGGCCTAGCTAGAGCAAAGGCCTCCAAAGCAGGCAAGCAGGGTGCTGTTAATTCTAATTTTTCCTGTCAGACAACTAATAAATGCTATCTTTCCTCTTTCAGGTTTTTCAGGGAAATCAAGACTCCTTCACACCAGTGGTGAACTCTCTAGACCCGCCACTACTGACTCGCTACATTAGAATTCACCCTCAGAGCTGGGTGCACCAGATTGCTCTGAGGCTGGAGGTTCTGGGCTGTGAGGCACAGCAGCTCTACTGAAAGTCCCCTGGCCCCTCTCTCCTCAGCTTCAGTCTAGGCCCTAACTCAAGGCCAGTGTCTTCCTTTGGCTTGCCTTCTACTTTTATGCCTGAACTTCAGGTTACTTCCTGCCCCGCGCTGTCCATGGTGCCATCATTTTTCTATGTTTTTAGATTATACACTGCCTCCAAATTAATTGTCATTAATCCTGCATTTCCTGGGAGAGTTGCATCCAATTTAACTTAACTCCTACCCATTGTCTGCAACTGCTTCCCATGTAACTAGGCAAAAAGAAGTGAGGAGAGACCTGTATGTGTGCATATGTGCATTTTTGCTGACAAAAGTACCCATAGATTTAATCATATTTTAAAGGGGTGAATGGTCATAAAATAGTTCAATTTAATCTCAGAAGGATGTAGAAATAAAGCCATTTGGTCTTAATTCTGACCAATGAAGTATAGGTTAGGGTTATGGAATTACTGAGAACCTTGAAATAAAATGACAATGTCTTCTTGAAATTTGCAATATCCAAGAAAGGTAATGATCATAATATGCTTCTAAAGGACATATATTTAATATTTCAGTGGAAAACTAAGGAAAATACAAGCCTGTCTGGAATAGGAGATACAAACTTTGTAATTCTAATTGTACACTCATTTTACTCTCTCCTTGCCTAATTTCCTGCTGAAACAACACAACAAAAATGTAACATGGGAAATTTTTTACCATGAATGAAAACTAGAGTCCTACTTATATACATCAAGGAGTCAAAAGAAAATTGAACTGGTGAAAACACTCCATATCCACTACATAAGAGAAACTCCCACCTTGACCCACCCCTCACAAGGTTGAGAAGGGTTTATTGCTCCTTCCATCTGCCTACCCCCTTGACTACGACTACACAAAAAGGCAAGAGAATGGCTGCTTTTTTTTTCGATGCTAGAGCATTTCCTAATAATCCTGCTTGACCCTAATCTGACCTCTTAGGACTATAGCATAGCTGTCACAGTATAGTCACAATCCACAACTGATGAAGGTGCAAATGACTTATAGTCCTGTAAAATTCTGTAAGGTTAGAAGTTAACCTACAGAAATCAATAAGTTGTTTTGTTTTATAGCCTTGTAGAGAAGTTAACCCCAAAGGTGATATGGTTTTATTTCCTGTGAAAAATTAACCACTCTTATGTTTAAGTTAATCCTCTTATTTTGGATTATTTTCCCATTGACTGTATACATCTATATTTCTCAAATGCTCATGGAACCAGCTCTTTTGTCCTCCTGCTGGTTTTCTCAGTAATGAGTTAAATAAAACATTGATTCATACAAACAAATGCCTTTGAGAACTGTGTTTTTACACTGGAAAGAAAAATGTGAACAATGATACTTTAAAAACAAATAGAGGCACTGAATAACAGAATAGACACGTTAGAAAACTAATAAAAAATAATATACTTTGGCCGGGTGCGGTGGCTCATGCCTGTAAACCCAGCACTCTGGGAAGCCGAGGTGGGTGGATCATTTGAGCTCAGGAGTTCAAGACCAACCTGAGCAAAAGCAAGACCCCATCTCTACTAAAAGTAGAAAGAAATTAGCTGGACAACTAAAAATATATAGAACAAATTAGCCAGGCATGGTGGCACATGCCTGTAGTCCCAGCTACTCGGGAGGCTGAGGCAGGAGGATCACTTGAGCCCAGGAGTCTGAGGTTGCTGTGAGCTAAGTTGACGCCACAGCACTCTAGTCAGGGCAACAGAGTGAGATTCTGTCTCAAAAAAATAATATACTTCATGAGAGGCAAAATAAAAGAAAAGAAATAAGAAATGGAGTCTTACTCTGGGAGAATTTATATATAGAGAAAGGGAAAGACTGAGAAAGAAATAGGGAGTTGCTGTTCAATGGGCATAAAGTTTCAGTTATGCCAGATGAATAAATTCTACAGATTTAATGTACACCATTGTGCCTATAGTTATTAATAACAATACTATAGTATGCACTTATAATTTTGTCAACAGAGTAGATCTCATTCTGAGTGTCCTTACCACAAATTTTTTTAAATGGATAGTTCCTGGCCGGGCGCGGAGGCTCACACCTGTAATCCTAGCACTCTGGGAAGCTGAGGCAGGCGGATTGCTCAAGGTCAGGAGTTCGAAACCAGCCTGAGTAGGAGCGAGACCCCGTCTCTACTATAAATAGAAAGAAATTAATTGGCCAACTAATATATATAGTAGTCCCAGCTACTCGGGAGGCTGAGGCAGGAGGATCGCTTGAGCCCAGGAGTCTGAGGTTGCTGTGAGGTAGGCTGACGCCATGGCACTCACTTTAGCCTGGGCAACAAAGTGAGACTCTGTCTCAAAAAAAATAAAAAAAAAGGAAAGTTCCTGAAGGAAAGTTCAGAATGGGTGTGATAAAATAAAACAATAGGAGAAAACTTATTTGAAATGAAATAAGAATAATAAGAGAAACAAATTTCAGTCTTCAGATCAAACAGAGTCCCTTAGTACAAGGCAAAATTAAAGAAAGACCAAAATAAAACATAGCCTGGCAGGGATAATGTAGAAGAATGAGACTGTGCATTGTTTATTGGCATAAACTTAGTCAAGCAGGAAAACATCATTGCTAAGTCCAGAAATTCTATAGCATTTTACAATGCTGATTGAGTTATTTACCAGATCACTGAGATCACAACAAATTATTATTATTATTATTATTATTTGAGACAGAGTCTCACTTTGTTGCCCGGGCTAGAGTGCCATGGCGTCAGCCTAGCTCACAGCAACCTCAAACTCCTGGGCTCAAGCGATCCTCCTGCCTCAGCCTCCCAAGTAGCTAGGACTACAGGCATGCGCCACCATGCTCGGCTAATTTTTTTCTATGTATTTTTAGTTGGCCAATTAATTTCTTTCTATTTTTAGTAGGGACAGAGTCTCACTCTTGCTCAGGCTGGTCTTGAACTCCTGAGCTCAAACGATCCGCTCGTCTCAGCCTACCAGTGTGCTAGGATTACATACTTGAGCCACCGTGCCCGGCCCACAACATATTATTTATTGGAAGATTGGTAAGCATATCCAATCTCCAATGACAAATATAGTTTGCAACTTTAAGTGAACAAATAAAATTTTCTGTCACAAACATTTTATCAAATATAATCTCAAAATTACAAGTCAATGATTTTGTGGAAAATATACATTAAAACAACTGTATACCTCAATGTTGTATAAAAGCTTTGTACTTTTTTTTTTTTTTTTTTTTTTTTTTTTTTTTTTTTGCGTCAGCCTAGCTCACAGCAACCTCAAACTCCTGGGCTCAAGCGATCCTCCTGCCTCAGCCTCCCGGGTAGCTGGGACTACAGGCATGCGCCACCATGCCCGGCTAATTTTTTATATATATATCAGTTGGCCAATTAATTTCTTTCTATTTGTAGTAGAGACGGGGTCTCGCTCTTGCTCAGGCTGGTTTTGAACTCCTGACCTTGAGCAATCCGCCCGCCTCGGCCTCCCAAGAGCTAGGATTACAGGCGTGAGCCACAGCGCCCGGCCAGCTTTGTACTTTTTTAGTAAACATACTATATAGAAACCCAACTTTATAATGACAAGATACAGACTATTATAAATTCAACTTTAATGTTTACTAACTGGCTATAAATATTTTCTAACCTCTTCCTTAGCTATTTTATCAAAGGGTAATGACTAACAAAACACTCCCAGAAATATATGTCAACAACTTCTTTTTCTCAATATTTCTGTAATGTCTTGTGGTAATAAAAATAAAGCCTGAGTGTATACAAAAACAACATAAAAGCCAGGAGGTGATGATCAGCATTAAAGTGTTAAGGTCCTGTGGTTGGGAAGAGAAGGTAAAAATACTTAATTGCTTTAGACATTTTTCCATTTTAACAATTTTAAAGTGTGTAATTCAGTGGCTTTTAGTGCATTCACAATGTTGTGCAGTCATCACCTCTATCTAGTTCCATAATATTTTCATCACCTTTAAAAGAAACCCCATACCTATTAAGCAGTCACTCCCTATTTTCCCTCCCTTCAACCCCTGGCAACTATTGTTATGTTTTACAGTCTCTATGGATTTGCCTATTCTGGACGTTTCATATAAATAGAATCATACAATATGTGGCCTTTTGCATCTGACTTCCTTCACTTGGCATAATGTTTTCAAGTTTCACCCCTGTTGTAGTATTTGTCAATACTTCCTCTTTTTGGGGGGGGACAGTCTCAGTCTGTTGCCCAGGCTAGAGTGCCATGATGTCAACCTAGCTCACAGCAACCTCAAACTCCTGGGCTCAAGCAATCCTCCTGCCTCAGTCTCCCAAGTACCTGTGACTACAGGTGCCACCACCACGCCCAGCTAATTTTCTCTATTTTTAGTAGAGAGGGGTCTCGCTCTTGCTCAGGCTGGTTTCGAACTCCTGACCTTGAGCCACCCTCCCACCTCGGCCTCCCAGAGTGCCAGGGTTACAAGGGTGAGCCACTGTGCCCGGCCCGCTTCATTCCTTTTTATGGTGAATAATATTTCATTGTGGATATACTACATTTTGTTTATCCATTCATCTGTTGGTGGACATTTGGGTTATCTCCACCTTTTAGCTACTGGGAATAGTGCTTCTGTAAACATTTATGAACAGGTCTTTGTTTGAGCACCTGCTTTTAGCTCTTTCAGGTATATGCCTAGGAGTGGAATTGTGTGGTCATATGATAATTTTATGTTTAACTTATTGAGAAACCACCAAACTGTTTTCCACAGTGGTCACACCATTTTATATTCTCACTAGCAATATATGAGGGTTCCAAATTCTCCACATTCTTGCCAATATTTGTTATTTTCCATTTTTTTTAATGGCCATTCTAGTGGGAGTGAAGTGGTATCTCACTATAATTTTGATTTGCATTTCCCTGGTGACTCATGACATTGAGCAATTTTTTTGTTTTTGTTTTTGTTTTTGAGTTGTGTAGCCCTTTATTAGCAACTAAAATAGAAGGTATCTGTTGTACAACACGGGTAGTAATTGACTATAACTGGAGATTCATTATATTCTAATACAGATCATTTATAAATGCAATTTCTTTATTAAAAAGCTTCCACCTTTTTTTGTTTGTGTACAATTTGCAAAACTATTCTGAAAGCGGAATATATGTGCACAAGTCTGCAAAGAGTGCAAATTTAGGATATGGTAAATGCTTTACAAGTTACTTTCAAAAAACTGTCTGCCACAACTGGGCCTTTACATTGTCATTTTTTTTTATCAAAATATTTTGATGCCAGCCTTCCTTCCACTGCCCTAAACTATAAAGCATTTTTTAATGAGTTGAAATTAAGGAAGGACTACACCTACTAGAAAAGAAGAGAAGAAAGTTCTATTAGTTTGAGGTTTCAGAATCCCCCCAAACCAGGACCAGTATCTTGGTAGAGGCTAGGCTGGGACCCCGGACAGAGTATGAGAATGTGCAGGTGGCATCCCTGAGGATTCAGAGCTTCAGTGGACCGTGAGTGCTCCAGCTGCATAACTCACTGAACTGTCTTGCCAGTTTCTACACTGGCTTGACTGGGCATAATTCAAAAAGGAAAAGCTCATATTCCATTCTTCCGGAGCTCTGTGATAGCATTTAATAACACCCCAATGGGATGTCTTCCACATATAGTATTATGGTATTTCTTCAAGTAATTGCTAAAAGATACAGGGTCTAATTGTTCTATAATACTCACACCCATTTTATCTAGATGTTCAATGGATCTATAAATCTCCCCCTGGGATTCATCATAGTAACTGTAACGGAACCTTTGACCCCAATGGCAGAAATCAGAAGAAACCACAAAGAGATTACTAGGATCCGCTAGATATTTACTGAAGAGTTTTCTGAATTCCTGTTCTTTTGACTCACTCAGAGCTCCAACCAGTACAGGAATAATGGTAAACTCATCCTTATGGCTTTCCATGGCTTTAGCTGTATAAGGCAAATGCATTTCAATACTGTGTTCATCTTCATCTGTCTGCAGAGACATGCGTTCAAACATTCCTGTCTTCCATAGTTCTCCGTAAATCTTTTGGTCAATACGAAGGTCATAGAGAGGTGTCCTATATATGACCACACTGGAAAGTGCACATCGAGAGAGGGGCACATGATGAGAAGGCCCAAGGATGAAAATTCTCCGGGTAATAGATGGATCCACTTGTTTGTAAGCATGGGCAGCACAAGACCCACAGTACGTATATTCTGCATGGGGTGCAATAATGGCTCTAGCAGGTCTTTTTGTAGACTGTACTTGTGAAAGCCAACCTTCTAGCTGTGCATTCAGCTGCGGTCCTGAGGCTGTGTACCAGCTCCCGGCGTGACTGGCTTCCCGGCAGACCACTCGGTTGGACATCTTGGTGCCTGTGCCGCCTATGGTGCTCGAGGATGAATGAGGAGGCGGCGGCGGCAGCGGCGGCAGGAGCGGCTCCGCGAGTGTACGAGACACCGCGGGCCCAGCCCAGGAGGAGGCGGCAGCGGGGAGAGGATCGGCCGGGCCCAAGAGGAGGAGGAAGAGGAGGAGGCGGCGGCCCAAGAGGAGGAGGAGATGGCAGCCGGGGCGGTGGCGGCGGCAGCAACAATCACCACAAACTCCGGTGACCGCCGGAAGATGGGGCCCACCGCGGCCTCACCGAAGCCCGGAAAGCCTGGCCCCGGCCCGGAGTCGCCGCTACTCCCCAGCCGGGGCTGGTTTCGCCGAGCCGCCCCCACCGACATTGAGCAATTTTTATGTGCTTTTTGGTCATTTGTATATCTTCTTTGGGGACATGACTGTTCAAATCCTTTGCCGATTTTTTAATTGAATTCTTTGTCTTTTTGTTGTTGTTTTGTGTTATTTATATATTCTTTATACTAGACTCTTTATCAAACATGTGATTTGCAAATATTTTATCCTATTCCATGGGCTGTCTTTTCATCTCTTGATAGTGTCCTTTGATGCACAAAAGTTTATAATTTTTATGAAGTTTAATTTATTTTTTCTTTTGTTGTTTGTACTTTTGGTATCATATTTAAGAAACCATTTCCAAATTCAATGTCATGAAGATTTGCCCTTATATTTTCTGCTGAGAGTTTTATAATTTTAGCAGTTACATGTAAGTCTATGAATTATTTTGAGTAAGTTTTTGTATATGATGTCAGCTAGGGGTCCAATTTTGTACATTTGCATGTAGATATCTATCCAGTTGTCTAGCATGATTTGTTGAAGAGATGTTTTTGTTGTTGTTGTTTTTTTGGGGGGTTTTTGACAGAATCTCACTCTGTTGCCCAGGCCACAGTGCTTCCACCTAGCTCACAGCAACCTCAAACTCCTTGGCTCCAGCGATCCTTCTGCTTCAGCCTTCTGAGTAGCTAGGACTACAGGCATGTGCCACCATGACCGGCTAATTTTTACTATATATTTTTAGTTGGCCAATTAATTTCTTTCTATTTTTAGAGACGGGGGTCTCGCTCTGTCTCAGGCTGGTTTCGAACTCCTGACCTTGAGCAATCTTCCTGCCTTGGCCTTCCAAAGTGCTAGGATTACATGTGTGAGCCACCACGCCCAGCTGAAGAGATGGTTCTTTATTGAATGGTCTTGTCAAAAATCAATTGACCATAAATGTATAAGTTTAGTTCTGGACTCTCAATCCTATTTCGTTGATCTATATGTTTACCGTTATGTCAGCGCCACACTATTTTAATTGATGTAGCTTTATAACAAGTTTTGAAATCCGAAAGTGGGAGTCCTCCAACTTTGTTCTTCTTTCTCAAGACTGTTTTGACTATTTGGGATGCCTTGTAATACCATTTGGATTTTTTTTTTTTTTTGAGACAGAGTCTCGCTCTGTTGCCCAGGCTAGAGTGCTATGGCATCAGCCTAGCTCACAGCAACCTCAAACTCCTGGGCTCAGGAAATCCTCCTGCCTCAGCCTCCCTAGTAGCTGGGACTACAGGCATGTGCCACCACACCTGGCTAATTTTTTCTATTTTTAGTAGAGTCGGGGGTCTCGCTCTTGCTCAGGCTGGTCTCAAGCTCCTGACCTCAAGGGATCCTCCCGTCTCAGCCTCCCAGAGTGCTGGGATTACAGGCATGAGCCACCATGCCTGGCCCTATACCATATGGATTTTAAGAATGACTTTTCTATTTCTGCAAAACAGGCCACAGGGAGGCAAGGCACGATGGCTAATACAGGGAAATAATAGGAATAAGAAAGGAAATGATAAGGTTCTTTGGTTATTTGTGTTTCTCAGAATACCTTCTTTCTGGTTCAAAGAGAAAATGGCCGCTTGGGGCTGCCCCCCATTTACTCTGTCACAGATTTAACATTGTTATACTCCCTTTGGGTCTCACTGAAATTCCATGCATTATAGGGCTGTTGGAATTTTATACTCATGGGCATTGCAAACACCACGTACAAATAGAATGACAAAGGATGGAGGGGGGCCCTAGGTTGCATTTATTTACTCTGTTCATGTGCATTCTCCATTGTTCCAGCAATCTTCACTTACAAAACACAAGTTCAGGCCAGGCGCGATGGCTCACACCTGTAATCCTAGCACTCTGGCAGGCCAAGGCGGGAGGATCGCTCAAGGTCAGGAGTTCAAAACCAGCCTGAGCAAGAGCAAGACCCAGTCTCTACTAAAAATAGAAAGAAATTAATTGGCCAACTAAAAATATATATAGTAAAACTTAACCGGGCATGGTGGCGCATGCCTGTAGTCCCAGCTACTCGGGAGGCTGAGGCAGAAGGATCGCTTAAGCCCAGGAGTTTGAGGTTGCTGTGAGCTAGGCTGATGCCACGGCACTCTAGCCTGGGCAACAGAGTGAGACTCTGTCTCAAAAAAAAAAACCACAAGTTCAAACATAAAATTATTAAGAATTTCAAGAAAATTACATTAGCGCATTAAATCAAGCCCTGTGTAACTGCACATATTGAATTCCCATGAAGCCAACCCTGAATACCAAACAAGCTGGGACTTTTGTTCATCCTGGCAACACCCATCTGAGTGCATCACTTGGAACCACTTCCAGTGTGCTCCTCCAGCACAGTAAAGCCTTCAGATGACTGTAGCCCCAGCTGGCATGTGATTCCAACCTCATCAGAGACCCCAAGCCAGAACCACTCAGGTAAATCACTTTAGAATTCCTGACCTGCAGAAACTATAAGATAATGAATGTTTTTTGTTTGCAGCTGCTAAGTTGGTGGTAATTTTTCATGCAGCAACAGATAACTTATGCAGTAGCCATATTGTCTTTAATATGGCTTTTCTGACTGGAAAAGTCAGTCTTTTCTGACTGGAAAAGTCAGAGCAGGAACAAGATGATAATTTGCGGCTTACTCACATTGTCACTATCCGTTGGCTTATCTTGTGGGTACAGGGCAGCAACCAACTTTGCAGGTCCTTCAACTCCTGCTGGATCTTTTAGCTCATCCAAATCCTAGGAAAGTCATGTTTAGCTCTTTGATGAAGGATATCACCTTCTCACACAGATTACTTCAGCATCAAAGTTGGAAGCTTGGAGGTATTATGAAAGTGATGCAGGTTTTAGTCTTTAGGGTTCAAGCTTCCCATAGATTCTTTAAACAGTTCTCACAATAGCATAAGGTCAAATTCTTATAATAAATCTGCTTTGTTCTGCCATGCCCATGGCTAGAGTCACCTCAAAAGCAGTGGCACGAGAATTCCCGTAAGGGAGTGCCCCAAACCCTCCTGAGATGGGGCCGGTTGGGATTGCAAAGAAAGAACCACTAAACACCAGGGTGATCAGTCCAAAGCATTTATTAGGGGAATTTACAGAGTGGGCTGCAGTGTTTCCTTGGCAGACAGCAAGAGAAAGGGATATCCTACCTAGGTATGTCCACAGCCAGAGGTTCAGAGTATGGAGTTTTTATGAGGGTTTAAGGAATTTGGCTCAGGGCCTGGTCCAGTTTCTTTCAGTACTTTGGACAACAAGCTTGATACCTTTATCAGTGCCTTGCAATGTTCAAAGCCCCAGTTTGGGTTCAAGCCTGCTGGGAAAAACCCACAGCTGGCTTGGATCACAGAGCAGTCAAGGCATTCTGATTTTCAGTCAGGACATAAAAAGAATGTGGGGATACTGGGGGCCTCTACAAAGTCCCTTATTTTATATATTTCCTAGTGGCTTTGTTTTCTCATGAAACCTTAACTGATACATCACTATTGCCAGTTCTTGCCAGAACTTCTTTTATAAAAATGTTAGTCTGGGCGCTCTCGGGCTCGGGTCTGGGGCGCCGCGGTAGAGCAGGCGGCTGCGCGGCTGGAGCGCCGCGGGGAGGGCTGCGTCGGTTGCTTTCTGCAGCCTCGTCTCCGCCTGCTCCCCTCGCCGTCCCCGGGGCGTTGTGCGTCTCCAGTCCGGGATCCAAGCCGCCGGCCACAGCGGCCGGCCGGATCCGCGTCCCGCCTCAGCGCCCGGAGGACATGCTGGAGAGAGAATGAGCCAGAGAGACACGCTGGTGCATCTGTTTGCCGGGGGATGTGGTGGTACAGTGGGAGCTATTCTGACATGTCCACTGGAAGTTGTAAAAACACGACTGCAGTCATCTTCTATGACGCTTTATATCTCTGAAGTTCATTTGAACACAATGGCTGGAGCCAGTGTCAACCGAGTAGTGTCTCCTGGACCTCTCCATTGCCTAAAGGTGATCTTGGAAAAAGGAGGGCCTCGTTCCTTGTGTAGAGGATTGGGCCCCAATTTAGTGGGGGTGGCCCCATCCAGAGCAATATACTTTGCTGCTTATTCAAACTGCAAGGAAAAGTTGAATGGTGTATTTGATCCTGATTCCACCCAGGTACACATGATTTCAGCTGCAATGGCAGAAGACAAGAAATTAAATAGAAAATAATCCAAAATATTTCATAAATATGGATGTGCAATATTACTGGCCATAGTGCAAAAGGTGAAAGGTTTTACCACAATCACGGCAACCAACCTCATTTGGCTTATAAAGACTCGGTTACAGCTTGATGCAAGGAACCGTGGGGAAAAGCGAATGGGTGCTTTTGAATGTGTTCGTAAAGTGTATCAGACAGATGGACTTAGAGGATTTTATAGGGGCATGTCTGCTTCATATGCTGGCATATCAGAGACTGTAATCCATTTTGTTATATATGAAAGTATAAAGCAAAAACTACTGGAATATAAAATTGCTTCTACAATGGAAAATGAAGAAGAGTCTGTGAAAGAAGCATCAGATTTTGTGGGAATGATGCTAGCAGCTGCCACGTCAAAAACTTGTGCCACAACTATAGCATATCCACATGAAGTTATAAGAACAAGACTACGTGAAGAGGGAACAAAATATAGATCTTTCTTTCAGACACTGTCTTTGGTTGTTCAAGAAGAAGGTTATGGATCTCTTTACCGTGGTCTAACAACTCATCTGGTGAGACAGATTCCAAACACAGTCATCATGATGGCCACCTATGAATTGGTGGTCTACCTACTCAATGGATAGTATCGCATAGGGCTGCTGTACTACAAAGAGGGAAGACCAAAAGATTACAGTGGACCATGGAATATTGAAGCCAGCCTGATGGACAGAAGAAAAGTAGTTTGGGAACACATAGCTGTGCTTAAGTGGAAGTTTGGTTATAGGAATTAAAGTAATCATACCACATTACTTGGTCTTTCAGTAATGTGAATAAAACCTCGGAGCCTCCAAGGAAATGCCTTTAGAAGCACTCCTTTCTCAAAATTGCCATTTTCTCTACCATGTCTGCTAGACACAGTCGTGTTTAGTTGATTTATATCAGTGAGATTATAGTGTTGTTTATTCCATGAGCACTTTTCCAGTCTTCTAAACAAAACCATCCCTAATTATATACTGTACTGTAACTATCCAAAGATAGTATTGGCAGTCATAAATTTATAACTTCTGGCTTTTATTTCCTGTGATATTGTAAAATAACAATAACAGTGAGAACCTCAGTATTATTTTCACATTTTCCTGAGAGGACCTGGAACAATATTTTAAATTATATACTATTAATAGTCATTGTTTTTGACAGCCAATGAAATAGTATCTAAGTATCTTGTGTATTTTTAGCATTAAAATGTTTTGGTTTCCCCTGCTAAAAGGTGCTTGATGTTTAGCCTAATATGGACATTTAAGTTGTTTGTTAACATATCAAACTCACATAATAGTAGTTTGAGACAAAATAAACTAGTAAAATGTTGATCCTTGGCCATCTCACTGACTTGAGCATGTCCTCATACCTTCTCTAATTTGATGGCACATGAATGAATGTAATTATCTCTTCAGTGACTTACTAGTGATAAACTTGAATTATTACCTGTTCATCATACCTAGGTATCATTTACTTAAAGTGGAAAAAATTTACCACTTTTGAATCTTTTTCTACTTACTTTCACATTAAGAATTTGAACTTTTAGATCCTTTTGTAGTTCATAAGCGTGATGATTGGGTCTTCACGCGCATGCGTGAGATGTGCCTCCCTCAAACCTTGTTACAACATCGGCACATTACCCGTCTGACGTGAAAAAAAAAAAAGAATTTGAACTTTTATTTCCAGGTCTTTATAGATTACATTTATTTTGTAGAGAAAATGGTAATTTCAGTTTTGCCCTTACAAGTTTTTTTAAGGTAACATTAATATTAATATTTGGAATAGTAGAATTACTACAGAAGAGAAGCCTCTGCTATCTGATCCAGCAGGTAGTGATCTTAATTGACTTACAGTTTTATAAATGAGCAAACTGTTTTGACAAGAAATTTATTGTGTTCTAGTTTCCTGAATGGTAAATCATAGATAAAAGCTAATTTGGGTTAAATGTGCTAATAGGATATAGCTTTTAAATTTTGCAATTAAGTTAACTGTAACTTTTAATACTTTAAATGTATTATATGTATGGTCCTTATAGAAATGTTTGCTATAATTCTGTTTAGAGATTTTGCCTATGGATGTTGCTATACTGGTGTATAAAATTTCCACAGTTACACTCCAGTGTGGTACTCATTTCAATATACCTGAACTGTACATTTTGTGCAATGGCTTTATCTTAAAGAATGACTCTTTGTGAATGCACTTTGTGGCCTTTTTGGGGGTGAAAGAGTAGGAGAGAATTCTGTTAAGATTTTCTTTTTTAAACTCTGGTCATATATTAGGCAGAAACAGTGTTCATAACGTTTTTCTGGGTTTTAGGTATGTTGTTTTGGAGATAGTCAATTTGAATGTTTTAAGTATTCCATGTACCCTGTGGTGTCCCCAACATTATAGAAAATTGCAGCATGTCATTGCAAGCTTTCTCTGCTGTAGGCAATGAAACATAGTTCCCTCTTAAATTCCCTTACCTTAACTTCCTTGTAGTCAACAATAACTGGATGTTTTTGAGGTGCTCAATTGGGATTTAAAATATTCCAATCTATTTGGAGACCAAAGGCAAAACTCAGTTTTCTTACCTTTGGAATTATTAATGCCTTTTCTGGTGAATTTCAGCTTTGACATTTATTGTGAGGAACATAACCAACACCTTGACCCCCCACCCCCCATGGGGTTTCTAACTTAAAATCTGTAGAGAAAATCTCAATCTATAGTGTTTGCCTTTTCAGGTGCCATTTATACTGCCTAGTATAGTGCCATTTGCCTTGTGAAGATCCATAAACATTTGTTGTGTTGAATGTAAGGCAAAGACTCTCCCTAGTCTTACTGATCTCAGTACCCCACAAATGATTAAGAATGATATGAAAACCAGCAGCTAAGAAACATCTTATTATTTAGTTGTAGCAAATTCATAATAAGTGTCCTTCAAGGATGAAAATGTATTCTTTCTATTTGTATTTAGCAAGTAAAGTTTATGTTGACCTTTAGTGCATTATAATTAAGCTTTTAAAAGTGAGTATTACATATGTACTGGAAGGAAAAGAGATCTTAGTTAGACTTTATTTGTGCAACAACTGGAAAAAAAGCAATGAGGTTTTTTTTTTCCCCCAACACAATATGCCATAGTTTATGTACAACAGAGATAATTCAAAAAAAGAAAACTGTAAAAGTTGTATGTAAAGTTTAACTCTGAAATATTTCTTTCAGGAGTTTTTTAATTGATTGAAATATTTTAAAAGAAATGCACATTTAAAGCATTAGGCTTTTTTTTTTTAACTGTTTTCATATGTTGTCTATCAGATAACTTTTATTTCTGGTATAGAGGTAAACATTCTTCAGATTTGATATGTACCATTATTATAGAATCTTCACAGAAAGTTGAATTGAATTTACCTGTAACTTATGGAAATGGTTTTCTAAATTTCAGAGTACAAATCTGAGAATTGCCAACCCTGTGATTGTAGGATACCATACAGTGCTTTTAATGCCAGGGAAAAAGCTGTATCACCAAAGCTTTGTCTTAATTCTCATTATGTTACTTTGTAGAATCAACCTTACTAAATGGGCCCCCTACAATGGGTTTTGTCTTTTTTTTTTTTTTTTAATAGAGATGGGGCTATGCTGTGTTGACCAGGCTGGTCTGGGACCCCCTGACCTCAAGCAGTCCTCCCACTTCAGCCTCCCAAAGTACGAGGATTACAGGCATGAGTTACCACACCTGGTCCCACAATGGGTTTATAACTTTGAAACCATGACAAGAGTATTAGATTATTTAATCCAGCCTTTTGTCTCTTAAATTTTATTGCCCGTTGGGGGGCAGCAACATTATATTAGGACCAGCAGTTTGGGTTGTTAAAAGCAAACGTTTATTCTTTTACTGGAATATAAACATTTCAGCATTTTTTGATATGTTTTAAATCACTAAAACTGATTTGAATTTGAAGGATTTAAGTGCTAGAAATAATCTATTCCTTACTATTCCAGAATTATTCATGCCTGTCTTTTGTTGTTTATGTGCTCTTCTGCCCGGGCTGTTAGTACTATAGGGACTCCTTTTGGTCTAAGTACAGTTCAGCCCTTTTCTCTAATATTTGATCATGACTTCAACATTCCTTAAGAATATAGATATTTCTGAATGATTTAAATTGAACGGAAACGTTGAGCGGCCTGGCTAGCTGTCGGAGCATGTGTCTCTTAAATTGAAAGGAATTTTAATATATCAAATACAGTGTACAAACTCTGCCCATTCAAATCTCTTTTCCATCATGCCCTTATATTTCCCATTAGTCTATATACTGATTTATATGCTACTCCTTTTAGAAACTAAATATTGTAGTTTTCCTTAGTTTTTGTGTTAATAGACTTTGAATGTGTACCCTTGTGTATATGTGAACAATTAAATTATGACTTATCAGTCATAGCTAAATAGTCAACTTCAAAAGAGTTAGTAACTCTTGACGATTCATGTGAGGTCTGCTATTTTTGCATTTATGTATATGGCTATAAATTATGTGCATTTACTCTATTTATGTTAACTAGCTGACTTTTACTTGAATTGTCAAAATTCAAAAAATTAAAATATGCTTATGGAAAAAAAAAGGTAGTTTGTGAGAGTTATTTGTATGTTAACAATACTAATCTAATATCTGTCATATATGCTGTGAATTTTATTACTTAATTTGTCATTAATCTTTTACTTTTTTAACAATGTTTTGTTATATGAAAGCTGTACAGTTTTATGTCATAAATTTACCAACATTTTCATTTATGGCTCTGGGTTTTATGACATGCTTAAAGAAGCTTTTTCCACATTAAGATTATAAAAATATCCACTCATATTTAATATATAGTTTTATTTTTGTTTAGTCCTTGTTGATCCATCTAGAATTTATTTTTCACATATTGTGGCAAAGGGCTCTCATTTTGGTGCATCCAAATGAATAGGAAATCATCCCAACATCATATTAAATAATCTCTTTTCCCCAACTGATGTGAAATGCTAACTTTATCATCCATTAAAGTTTCATATACACACTGTTATAAGGTGTAGTAGATGCTGTGTGGTGAATAAAATATCTTAGAATTCTTCAAGCCTAAGAGGGCACAGATACTGTGATGATGAGTTTCAGTATCAACACAGATGTTCATGTGTAGACACAAAAAGACATCTGTGTGCTTAGCAGTCAAATAGAGCCTGGGGGAGGGTCAAATGCAGTAGATGATATCATAAGGAGGGGTGGAATTCTATTTGGAACTTCAGAAACCTAAGAGGAAGACTCTGGCCAGATTCTTCTGAAGATACCTACACTCTGAAGCCTGAGGCCTAATTCATTGGCTTCTTTGGATTCTTTGGTGCTAAGCCAATTTTCAGGTAAGTGGCTTCCCACTGGAAGTGGATCTCAAACAGTAAATGAGTTTATCAGTCGTAAATGTCTTAAGTAATAGAAAGCCCAAATTATAATGGCTCAAATAGAAGTTTATTTTTCTCAAATCAAGCAGTCCAGAGGTAAACAGATACAGGTGTCAGTTTAGTGGCTTGGAAATGTCTGAGCCAGAACATATGTCATTTTCTTCAGATAATGTTCAAAGCAGCACAAAGGGAAAATGGTAGCACCATCTCTTTTATCAAGACAGCAAAAAGCCTTCCCAAAAGTTACCTATCAGATTTTTATTATGTTTGGGCCATGCAATGAACAGTATATCTGCCAAAATTCATCATTCACTCAAAAAATAATTATTGAGTACCTGAATATCCTACATGTGCTAGGTTACTGTTCAGCAGTGAACAATACAGACAAAAATCTCTGTACTCATGTAGTATTATAATTAGGAGAGGCATAAAATAAAATGAACAAGTAAAATATATTATGTTAGATTCTGATAAGGTTTTTGGACAAAACTCAAGCAGGTAAGGCAATGAGGAAGTTTGTGGGAGAATGGTACAATTTTAATAAAGGGATCTCAAGAAAATTTGCATTGAGAAGGTGATATTTGAGCATCTGAAGAAGATGAGGGCATAAATCCTGAGACTATGGAAGAGAAAAGCATTCCTTGGAGAGGGGATAGCAAGTGATAAAATCCCCAAGGTAGGAACATGCCTAGCTTGTTCAAGAGGAAACAAGGCTGAGTCAGAATGATCAACAGAAGGCTAATAGGCTGTGAGGCCAGAGAAGTAACCAGGACATAATCTGACCTACAATTTAACAAGATCTCTTTGGTGGCTGACTCAGTGCGGAAGAGTCTGATGGAGTCAGAGATGATAATGGGTAGCACGGGAGGTGGTGTGAAGTGGCAAGATTCTGGATACAATTTGTAGATTTTTCTGATGGATAATGATGTAGAAGGGAAAAGGAGAGTCAAAGATGTTGCCATATGTTTTGGCCTGAACAGTTGAAAGAGTTTCTACTAACTGAGTTGGGTAAGACTGAAAAGGGATCAAGTGAAGAAGGTAATGTCAGGTATTAATATCCGAACTGATAGAGCATAGTAAGGTTTTATTTTATTTTGTTTTTTGGAGGGGGGACATACATTTTGTTTTGGAAACTGACCGTGTTCAGGATTCACCTGTGTAAGTCAGTGAATTAGCCTTGTGTTCATAACAGGTGGGAAGGTTTTTGCAATAACAACTAAACCACCACTTCTAACTTTCCAGACAAAGCTGCTGTGGGAAAGAGCTAGGGACAAAGAAATCGCCCCTTGACAGAGTGATCTAGGAGCACCAGCCGCAGCTAAAGGTGGAATCCATGGAACCCCAGAAGCTGCTGAGCCTTGGATTTCTGCTGTGCTCTCTGACTTGCCTCTTGTTGGAGTTGGTAGCTTCCTCTCCTTCACCTTTATCTGCTTTGAGAATACAAGAGAAAGCAGGATCGAAGCCACGCTCAAGGGGTGTGTTTGCTGTTAGGATGAATGTTCCTATCTTCATAAGACATAAGATTCCTGTCTCAGGTCAGGAAACACTGATTTCATGTTTAAAAATAATGTTCACAGGAAAGCAAACTCTTCCTGTTTAGTTCAACTTAGTTTAAACAATCATTAACCTACCCACTGTGTGCCAAGACCTTTGCTGGACTACATAGATTAGGAGTTGAACAGCCCCTGTTATCAAGGAGCTCATGGGCCTGGCATGGTGGCTCACGCCTGGAATTCAGCACTCTGGGAGGCCAAGGCGGGAGGATCACTCAAGGTCAGGAGTTCGAAACCTGTCTGAGCAAGAGCGAGACCCTATCTCTACTGAAAAAAAAAAAAAAACAAATAGAAAGAAATTTTTTGGCCAACTAAAAATATATAGAAAAAATTGGCCAGGCATGGTGGCACATGTCTGTAGTCCAAGCTACTCGGGAGGCTGAGGCAGGAGGATTGTTTGAGTCCAGGAGTCTGAGGTTGCTATGAGCTAGGCTGACACCACGGCACTCTAGCCCGGGCAACAGAGTGAGACTCTGTCTCAAAAAAAAAAAAAAAAAAAAAAATGGAGCTCATAGATGGGCCAACAAAGCCATAGCAGGCAACCTTCCAGGGAGTATGATTAATGTTCCCAGAAGACAAGGCAATAATTAAAATTGTTCGGGGGAAGGAGTCAGAAAAGATTTGATAAAAAAGGTGAAATTTGAAATAAACCTGATGGTCCACTGACCCACAGCTTAGAGGCTCCCAAACCCCTGCTTCCTACATGCACTCACATGCTGCTCAAGTGTCTTGCTGGTGAGTGGTGAACCCTCTCAACTCCATGCTACAGAAATTTTTGTTTTCCTCTTTCCTTGGTGTCAAATCACTTCTTCCCCTACTTCCTAAAGAAAAGACCCAACATGTCTAGCCTTTACTTCATCATTTACTTGACCTCTCCTCAGTGAATGTCTATGCTTTCTCTGCAGACAACTATAGGGCCTGGCTGAGCAACTTCAGGGATTACTTGTGGGATCTCATCAAGAGCTCTATACCTCCAGCAGCCATTTTTGCTTTTCTTATCACCACAGCACTAATGGGGACCCTCTGCTGCCTCACGTAAGCTTCGGTGGTAACTTAGGAAGGGAGGAGAGAGGAAACATGAAGGGGGCACAGAAACACTCAGGCTCCTCACTGATCTGCACATCTGTAATTAAGGGAAAGTTTTACGTAAGGCAATTCTGGGAGCAAACTCTGAAAGGCCATACAACTCACTTTTAAAACTTCTCTACTTTTTCTTTTTTTCCCTCCAACTTGCCCCACTCATTACCAATGACTGACAGGTAACATTTAATAACCAGTATTTAGAACTGATCATTTCTTTTATTAAGTTCATTAACTACTAATTTTGCTTCCCTTTGGCTCAGGAACTATACTTGGAAAATATATAATTAACTGTGTTCTCAATTGCCTGAAAATTTACCAAAATATTTATCTAAATAAATCATATGAAGCCAAAGAGATTCCTAAGGAAAACAAAATAGTCAAACTAAATTTTGTTAATGCAATTGGCATTTACCAAAAAGTGACTAGTTGCCTGTTTCTGTCCTGGTTGCTAGAGAGACAGAGAAATAAGACAATTAAAAAAATTACAAGAGGGTCGGGCGGGCGGTGGAGGTGCGGACGCTGGTTGTCTTTGCTGCTGCCGTCGCTGTCTCCTTTGCTGCCGCTGGCGGTCACCATGAACCCAGACTTGCGCAGGGAGCGGGACTCCGCCAGCTTCAATCCGGAGCTGCTTACACACATCCTGGATGGCAGCCCCGAGAACACCCGGCGCCGCCGGGAAATCGAGAACCTGATTCTGAACGACCCAGACTTCCAGCATGAGGACTTGAACTTCCTCTCTCGCAGCCAGCGTTACGAGGTGGCAGTTCGGAAGAGTGCCAACATGGTGAAGAAGATGAGGGAGTTTGGCATCGCAGACCCTGATGAAATCATGTGGTTTAAAAAACTACATTTGGTCAATTTTGTGGAACCTGTGGGCCTCAATTACTCCATGTTTATTCCCACCTTGCTGAATCAGGGCACCACTGCTCAGCAAGAGAAATGGCTGCTTTCATCCAAAGGACTCCAGATAATTGGCACCTACGCCCAGACGGAAATAGGCCACGGAACTCATCTTCGAGGCTTGGAAACCACAGCTACCTATGACCCTGAAGCCCAAGAATTTATTCTCAACAGTCCTACTGTGACTTCTATTAAGTGGTGGCCTGGTGGGCTTGGAAAGACTTCAAATCATGCAATAGTTCTTGCCCAACTCATCACGAAGGGGAAATGCTATGGATTACATGCCTTCATTGTACCTATTCGTGAAATGGGAACCCATAAGCCTTTGCCAGGTATTACTGTCGGAGACATCGGCCCCAAATTTGGTTATGATGAGATGGATAATGGCTACCTCAAGATGGACAACTACCGTATTCCCAGAGAAAACATGCTGATGAAGTATGCCCAGGTGAGGCCTGATGGCACGTATGTGAAACCCCTGAGTAACAAGCTGACTTACGGGACCATGGTGTTTGTCAGGTCCTTCCTTGTGGGAGAAGCCGCTCGGTCTTTGTCTAAAGCCTGCACCATTGCCATCCGATATAGTGCTGTGAGGCGCCAGTCTGAAATCAAGCCAGGTGAACCAGAACCACAGATTTTGGATTTTCAAACCCAGCAGTATAAACTCTTTCCACTACTGGCTACTGCCTATGCCTTCCAGTTTGTAGGAGCGTACATGAAGGAGACCTATCATCGGATTAATGAAGGCATTGGCCAGGGGGACCTGAGTGAACTGCCTGAGCTTCACGCACTCACAGCCGGGCTTAAGGCCTTCACTTCTTGGACCACAAATGCCGCTATCGAAGCATGTCGGATGGCTTGTGGTGGGCATGGCTATTCTCATTGCAGTGGTCTCCCAAATATTTATGTCACTTTTACCCCAACCTGTACCTTTGAGGGAGAAAACACTGTCATGATGCTACAGACAGCTAGGTTCTTGATGAAAAGTTATGACCAGGTACACTCAGGAAAGTTGGTGTGTGGCATGGTGTCGTACTTGAATGACCTGCCCAGTCAGCGCATCCAGCCACAACAGGTAGCAGTCTGGCCTACTGTGGTGGATATCAACAGCCCTGACAGCCTAACTGAAGCATATAAACTTCGTGCCGCCCAGATTAGTAGAAATTGCTGCGAAAAACCTTCAAACTGAAGTGATTCACAGAAAAAGCAAGGAGGTAGCATGGAACCTAACTTCTGTTGACCTCGTTCAAGCAAGTGAGGCACATTGCCACTATGTGGTAGTTAAGCTCTTTTCAGAAAAACTCCTGAAAATTCAAGATAAATCCATTCAAGCTGTCTTAAGAATTTATGTTCTCTTGTATTCTCTATATGGAATCAGTCAGAAGGCAGGGGATTTTCTTCAGGGGAACATCATGACAGAGTCTCAAATTACCCAAGTAAACCAGCGTATAAAGGAGTTACTCACTCTCATTCGCCCCAATGCTGTTGCTTTGGTTGATGCCTTTGATTTCCAGGATGTGACCCTTGGCTCTGTGCTTGGCCGCTATGATGGGAATGTGTATGAGAACTTGTTTGAGTGGGCCAAGAAATCCCCACTGAACAAAGCAGAGGTCCATGAATCTTACTATAAGCACCTGAAGCCACTGCAGTCCAAGCTCTGAACTGTCACAGGACAAGTTTAATCTGCTCCAGAAAGCTGTATGCAACTCCATTTATACCTGATGACAATCTTGTGTGAAATCTTCATCAAATTCAAATAGCTATATAGTAAATGATAATTGACCCCTTCCTCTTTTATAAATGAAGGGAAAAATGAACAGATTTCAGAGATTAAATGAAAAAACCAGAGTTGTTTTTAAGTGCAATTAACACTGAAAGAGATCTGTTAAGCATTCAGAAAAGCTTAAGAAATGCAGTATGACTTGCATTTGTAATGCTGCTAATCCCAGTAGGCCATAACTTTTGATAATTAGCAGAGTTTAACTACTAAGTAGTTAATTATTTCACATTTTAATTGCTAATCATTGGCTATATAAGTGTTTTTAGCAAAAGTATTTTTGAAGTAGGATAGAACCCTTCAAAGCTTTCATGCTAAATGTTCTACCATTCCTACTGTGGGGCTGGCTGAACAACAGGACTGAAGAAAAGGATTCGAGAAAAAACTAACCAGAAAACTTAATGTGAGTGAGTTTGTGTTAGAGCTTCTGCTGCTTGTCTTCCTTTGCTGATGGATTGCTTCTATCTTCTAACTATTCATAGTAGCATTTTTCCAACAACTGGACTTTTTCACAAAGACTACTGCAGAACCACTGTCTCCTGTAATTATGAATTAATATTTCATTTGAAGGATCCTGAAATTGTTGCTCTAGTAGCACTACAACTCCCTTTGTCTCCAGCTTCTTGGGAAGGAATAGGTAGCAAAGTTATCTACATAGGACTTTTGGCAACTGCTGGGACCTCAATCAGTGCTATTTGACACCCCCCACACACACTTTCCTGGAAGAGATACTAAAGAAAAGAGGGAGAAAAATCACAGTTCCTTCTTAATAGAACAAATGTAGGGAGAGCTCTCAGCTATGGTACTGCTGTAACTGTAGGAATGATATTAACTAGATTTTCTGGGACAATCCAGATTTCAAATATTTGTCATCTTGGCATTAAAATACTTGGAGGTTACAGTATTTGGCATTCAGAAAATGTCACTTAGGTCACCTTACACACAGAAATAACACCCTTTGACGCAAACCATGTTTCACTTCTTAGTTCAGAAAATATTAATCATTGAAACTATGGCTAGAGGATAAATGAATGTTTCTCAGATTCCATATTTTATTAAATGTATAGCTTTGTCTTCATTATATTTCTAGGAGCTTAATCTGAATTGCTAAATTGTCCTTTCAGTTGAAATTTATATAATCATTCTATATTTAAAACTTAAATGTGCCTCTTAATTTTTTTCTTAAAATCCGTGTAAAACATCATAAGTCACTTGAATTTTTTTTTTTTTTACCTGTTTATGTCTGTGACATCTGCCTCATGAAACCAGTTGTTCTAGAATCAGTCCTGAGAATATAGTATAATTCATTGGAAACAATTCCTCTCTTGGGACCTGACATAAAGTCTATCTCAGGAGAAGTGATAATATGAGATTTTTTAGGTTACAGCAGAAATACTGTATATTGACACAGCCTTACTCTTTCCACTGGGAGAACTAATTGATAATTAATATTGAAGATTAACTCTGTGTTAATCTCATTTGAGTCTCTTGAAAGTAGTTCAGATTCTAGAAAATAACAAAGTAAATTTAAATGGCTTAATATTGACCTTTTAAATGTAGAATTATTTCAAAATTAGTGTTTCAATACCTTATTCACAGATGAATGTATCTGTGGCCAGGATCTGAGGATGTTTGAAATGACACCCACCTGCGTAGATCTGGGGTCTATCTTGGCAGGTTTGAATTGTAAACACTACAGAGCCACCTTCAATGCAGCACCTCAAGTTTTATTTAAAAGCTAAATCTGACATTTGATACTATTTTTATTAACATTGGAATGTTTTGTCTTGAACTTTATTCATTGTAATCAAAGAATAAAAATAAAGTAAAACCTCAAAAAAAAAAATTACAAATTAGTAAGTCAGTGCTGTGGTGGAAGATGGAGTCCAAGTGGCGGGCACCTATGAAAGTGATCAACAAAGGTATTAAAAGAGGTGAGGGCCAGGTGCAGTGGCTCACGCCTGTAGTCCTAGCACTCTGGGAGGCTGAGGAGGGTGGATTGTTTGAGCTCAGGAGTTCGATACCCAAGAGCGAGACCCCGTCTCTACTATAAAGAGAAAGAAATTAATTGGCCAACTAATATATATAGAAAAAATTAGCCGGGCATGGTGGCGAATGCCTGTAGTCCCAGCTACTCGGGAGGCCGAGGCAGGAGGATTGCTTGTGCCCAGGAGTTTGAGGTTGCTGTGAGTTAGGCTGACGCCAGGCACTGTGGCCAGGGCAACAGAGGGAGACACTGTCTCAGAAAAAAAGATGTGAAGTCAAGGAATAGTTG